ATATATATATATATATAGGTGTGTAGGTGTTGCCGTTGAACCAATCGAAGGTGCACAGAGGTGTTTGTTTTTCCCCGCAGGTGACTGTTTGAGAGGGGGGGGGGGAAACCTATTATTACTTTTTTTAAAGACAACAACCAAAACACACGCGAGTAAGAGTAGGAACAAAAGAAAAAGAAGAAAAAAGAACTGATTCGAGTCCCACAACAAACAACAAAGCTGTATGTATATATACACGTGTGCGTCGCTACGGCGCACCTACGTTGCGCTCCTAGCGTGTCGTGTCCTCCGTGGTCGACGTGCGTCCCTCTTCAATAAATTTTCTTTTCTCCTTTTTCCCTTTTTTCCTCGTGGGAGCAATAAAAAAGAAGAGGCAAGGAAGAGAAGACGAAGCGACAGTGAATCCGCGACAACAGCGAGGCGGAGGCGGCGGAGGAGCAACAACAACACGAAGAGGCTGCACACCGTGTGGCGCCAACATACGACAGCAGAAAAATACAATCCGGAGAAGTAAGAATAGTAATTAATACTAAAAAACACAGTGGTTGACTTCAAAAGAGAAAAATGTTACCATGAAGAAGGAAAAACAGAAAAAGAAAAAGAAGTCACACACAGAGATAGAGAGAAAGAGAGAACGTCCCACGAATAGATGACGGCCTTTGTTACTGTATCGCACAAGTGGATAGATGTTTAGCTGATCTATGTTTAGCAATGTTTGATGTCCAGGAGTAATAATAATATTAATAATAATAAAACAAGGAGAACAACATGAAAAGAACGGTGGGCGGCGTCACTATTCTGGCCGCTACGAGAAGCAGCGTGATGGAGAAGGACCGATCCGACACACACACACACGTACAACCAGACAACAACAAAAACTTGGGTAGCGCTACTGAAACGCTGTAATAGGAGGAAAGAAAGAAAGGAAGAGAAAGGAAAAACCTGTTATACACGCACACACACACAGGAAGCAAGGGAGCTTTTGTTATTCCCAATTCCTTTTGGAAATTTTTTTTAGAAGGCCGTTTTGCGATATTTATATATCCTCAAAAGCAAGAGAGAAAAAAAAGCTTCGTTCGCCGCGTGTAGTCGTCGGCTTCTTGAAAAGAACAAATAAGAAAAAAACAAAACAGAGGAAAAAACGGGGGAGGGGAAGGCGCAGGCGGCGACGTAGAAACAAAAGCAGCACCGCCACGACCACCAGCACCAAAGAAAGAAAGAAGGAAGGAAGAGCAGCGAGGGAAAAGAGAACAATGCGCTGAAAGCGATTCAAAGCACTTACGCAGATGACAAAAGAGAATATATATATATATATATATATATATGTATTTATGTGGTAATGTTGAGACAGCAAACAAGTGGTGAATAATAATAATAGTATTAATAAGAACGAAAGAAATCAAAAAATGAAAAACAGCACCGAGAAGAGAGAGAGAGCGGCCAAACTCGATTGAAGGAAAATGTGAGAGGGGAAAAGAGAAAAGAAAAGATTTCAAAAGAGAGAGAGAGCGGGCGGTGCAAAGGTTCGGGAAGAGGTGATGTTGAAACAAAGGTTTGTTTGACTCTCAGCTCTACTGTTGACACGCATCCTCGACGCACACACGCACACACACACACACTAGAAATAACACAAACAAACAAAACAAAAAAAGGATCAGAAAAGTACTGTTGATGTTTTCACGCCACTGGCTGTGTTTCTTCTTCGCTTAAAAAATTAGTAGTTTTTAAAATCTCACGCACACACTCTCTCACACAGACACAGACAGACAGACACAACAACCACTATAAGCAAGTTGACCAGATTTTCGCGTTTCTGCCGACAACTCTACGTTGGTTTGCTTGGAGAAACACACAACAATACACTTACCATAAAAAGAAAAAAACAAACAAAAACACACACAAGCAGAAATGACATATATATACACGCTGGCAGGCAGGTGTTGACAACGTGGGGTGGGGGGCGGGGTGGGGAGGAGGGGAATGCGGGAAGACGTAGTCAGTTCCACACAGTTCTTTCTTTCTTTCTCTGGCTTACCGAGTTCCTTTGCTGAGAGCCTTATTTGCTTCCCCTTTCAAGCAACGTACACACACACACACACACCCACACACCCACACACACACAGAGATCAACGAATCTGGAATAATAATAAATATAAATATATATATAAACACACGAAGTGCTTTTCTTTTGACGATTAAAAATGAAACACTTAGAAAAACAGCCGAAAGAAGGAAAAAAAGGTTAAAATAGAAAACGAGGAGAATAAAAAAGCGGGTTAAAAAAGATTCTTTAGAGGGAAGACAGTAGCACTTTGCTGCTTATATATATATATATATATATAAGTGTGTGTGTGTGTGTGTGATTTTTTTGGTGACACCAATTGGCTGCACGTTGTCCCGGTGTATATCTCGGAGAGCGACGGGAGGAGGAGATGCGGCGCGAGAAGTGGAGAGAGCGGAAGGGCAAGAAGTGGTGGTGATGGTGGTGATGGTGGACGACCTTTTCTCCTGCACCGGAGGGCGAACGGGCTAGTTCATTATGTGACCAAGTCGCCTGTTCTTTTTTCTTTTCCCCCTTTTCCCTTTCGGGCGCTTGCGGTTGCACGTTCTGCTAGACCTTGAACACTCTGCGAGCATGACTTTTCTTTCTTTTTCTCTTGATGTAGTGCAGTAGAAAGTCAGAGGTGACACAGGACAGTTCCTGCGTTCAACAACAACAGCAACAACAACATAATACTTGCTGAAGAGGGTTTGGCAAACCAGCGGGGTGTCAGCACCTGAGTTTATCTTTCTCTCGCTCTATGAGGAGCGCAACGACCAACGCATGAGCACACACACACATACACACACACACACAGTGAAAAAAAAAAACTCAATGGAGGTGCGCGCCGAAGAACGAGAAAGAGCGTGTAGCGCGCAGCTCCAATCACACTCCTCGCATCGTGTGTGGCTCTCCCTTCTTTTCCTTTCTTCCCTGGACCTGTGAGGCGTCTTCACAGCACCAGAACGTCGCACAGTACGTCCCCAACAGCGGGCAACGTCGCTTTCATGGCGGACTGCGCCACCGCCGGCGCCGTCGCCGCGAACGTTGGCCGGTCAGCACCGTCTTTGCTGTCTTTGCCGTCTGCTGCTGCTGCTGCTGCCGCCGCACTGTTGAAGCTCCCGTTTTGTCCCCTCACGGGTCGCAACAACGAGGTCGAAGCGGGCGGCCACAGCACTGCCTCCGGCATCCGCGCATCCACCACTTCCAGCGCGGCCTGCACCACCTGCAGCCAACCCGCCTGCCACGGTAGCACGCTCAGCGAAAACGTCAGCGTGCTGCTCGGCTCGAGCAGGCCGAGGAGGCGGACGGTCGGACCGGTGTAGAGCCACTGCGGGGCCAGCCGCTCCACCCGCACCTTCAGCGCGACGTCGTAGCGGTGCACCGAGCTGTGGTTGACGAGCGCGAACTCCATCGTGACGGGCGATCCCGCCAGCAGCAGCAGCGGCGTCGCGGCGGGAGAGGAGAAGGAGGGAGAGGTGGAGAGAGGCGCGTCCTCTGCAAAAGTGGGGTCTTCCGCTTCCGCTGCCGCTGCGGATGCTGGATGCTCTGTGGGCGTTGCTGGCGCAGCGGACTTGCCCGCCACCGCAGCCGACACCACCTGCGTTACGCGCAGCACCACGTCCGGCTCAGCCACCAGCTGCTCCACGTGCAGGGGAGCGCTGCGCGCCGTGCCCGCTTCCCCGTTCGCGCGGCACCATGTCCACTGGACGTGGCCGAAAGACGCCAGCCGCGGGCTGAGTAGCTTCGTCATGACCCCGCCCTGTCCGTGCACGACGGTGGCGTGGCGCAGCTCCTCCAGGCACACCCCGATAAGGAAGACGAGTGTCTGCGCGTCGCCTGGCATCAAGTAAGCGGGCGAGGACGGCTTCCTTCCTCCCACGTCCGAGGTCGCGTCTTGGAGGTGCAGCAAGGGATGAGGAAGGTCCTGTTCCTGCCCTGTCTCCCGTGGCGCTAGATTGCGGAAGAGGGGCTTGCCGCTGTGGTTGATCAGCGTCGGTAGAAGCAGCTCCGACGAGGTCATCACTAGCGGTACGCTTGACATGTTCTGCAGGCCCACCGTCAGCTGGTAGCACGCGTACCCGCGCGACAACGGCGAGGACGACGCGTGCGCCTTACCTTTCATGGAGACACACGGCCGCAGGTAGGCCAACCGCCGTTGCTGCACCTCCATAATCGGCTGCTCCGTCTTCAGGATGCTGTTCCACGACAGCTGCCGCTGTCGCCCGCTCGGGTCGTTGTACTCCACCGTCACGGCGAGGGAGTAGCTGCAGACCTCATGCAGCGGGACGGAGGCGACGATCGTGTAGTTGGACTTGGCGGGCAGGGCCGGCAGCGTGCGGCGCAGCAGTGGCCGACGCAGCGGGGCCGGCGGCTGTGCCACGCCGATGTGGAAGTGCGCCTGTGCCAGCGGGTAGGTGGCCGCGTTGTGGAAGCACAGCAGCGCACGGAAGACTTCGCAGGCAAGGGCGACGCCGATCTTGCGTGGAAGCGTCAACACCGGCTGCACGCACAGGGCGGTGGAAGAGGAGGCGGAGAGGCTGCTGGAGAGGGGGTAGGTGCGGGTCTCGGCTGCGGCTGCGGGGAGCGCTAGCGGAGAAGCAACGACCTCCGCGGGCTTCGCCGGCTCGACATCCTTGGCGTTGCTCTCGGCAACCGGCGCTTCCGCACCCACTGTGGTAGTTGTTGCTGCTACCGCTGTTGTGGTGCTCGCACGCTCATTACCAGGGCGATCTTCACCCCGCACGCGACTCCACGGGTCGCCCAGCACAGAGAAAAGAATGTCCCCCTCCTCTGCTAGATCGCCCATGTCCTCCCCCAGTGAGGGATAAAACGACGGCTGCGATAGCACGGAGGCCTGCAGACCCAGCGGTGCGGAGAGCATGACGGTGCCATCGGGGGCCGTCACGACGGCAGGCGCGGCGGCGATGCTGGCGGATACGACGCCCGGCTTTGGTGCGCTGCCGACATTGGCGGCGGCGGCGGAGGCGGAGGCGGAAGTCACCCCGGCGGTGACCCGACCGGTGGCGCCGGCGGGAGCAGCGCTCACCGGAGACGCCGCGCCAACCCGCACCGTCACCGGCGGAGTCGCGTGCATTATTGTCCCACTGCTACAACAACGAAAGAAGACAAAACGACGACAAGATTATAAATGTGTTGTATCGGCGGCTGGAAAACTGCAAGAGAACCCCCGCCTTTTGTTCTCCTTCCCCACTCTCTCTCTCTCTCTCTCTCTCGCTGTCCTGCGCTGCTTTGGTTTCTTTGTGGCGCGATGTGGTGGTGGGTGGTCATCACGGAGGTCGCGAAAAAACAAACAAACGGAGGTGTACAGGACAAAGAAGTGGAAGAGCATGAACACCAAACTCCTGCGACGGAAGCTGAAGAGAAATAATAATAATAATAATGGTAGTAGTAAGGGTGAATGCGTCGCGTAGCTATCACGGGCAGTCGTCCAGGGAGGAGACAGACGGCTTCGCCCCTCCTTTATTTTACCTTTTTAAATCTGCGAGACGGTCGCTGACGATCACGCGCCACCAGCACGTAGAACGCGAACCTGCAATACGCATACAAACATATTTGACGTAGAGGGATGTTAATAAGGCAACGAAAAAACCCGACCCACGCGCACCACTTCGGCCTACGGTCACTCGCACCAACGTAAATGCTTCGCGAGAGCATCAATGAACCCCCCACTCCTCCCTCCTCCCACGACAACAACAACATCAACAAAATACCGTTTCCCTTTCCGCGAGTCACCCCCGCACTCGCTCCCATGCGAATGTATTCACCCCGCCGCCCTCCTTCACCAGTCGCTGTCGTCGCTGGAGGAGGAGTCGCCGCCGAGCCGCGGAGGCCGTGGAGGCGCACCTGGTCGTGGCGGCGGTGGCGGTGCTTTCCGCGCGTCATGCCCAGCCGTCACTGCCGCCGAGGACGACGATGACGTGGACGGAAGCGAGCCACCCGTCTGCTCTCCGTTATCATTAATTCTACTGTGGTCGTTGTTTCGCTTACGCCTCGTCTTGTTGCCGCCGCCGCTGCTGCTGCTGTCGCTGCTGCTGTCACTTGAGGCGTCGCCCTGCAGAGCTCTTCGTCGCTGACCGAGCAGCGAGGAGAGGGCGCCTCCGGCAGAGGAGGGGGGAGGTGGAGGTGGAGGGGGGAGGGATGACTTGCCACCTTGTGGGGCTCCACCTTGACGCACGCCTAGCGGTGGTTGCGGCGCGGATTTATTCGAGGCTTGTGCGGGCGGCGGGGGCGGGGGCGGTGGAAGGCTACCACCTCCCGGACCGCGAGGCGGCGGCGGCGGAGGCGGAGGCGGAGGCGGTGGTGGTCGTCCGGCGGCGGTGGACTTCGGCTGTGCAGAAACGGTGCCGGAGCCAAACGGAGCTGCAGCGGCGCCCCTCGGCGGCGGTGGCGGTGGAGGCGGCGGCAGGCGAGGCGGCCCTCCACTCCCTGCCCCGCTGCCCGCGCTCGGCCCACCACGCCCGGGAAACATCGGTGGGTTCGGCGTACCTTGGAGTAACGCTGCTGGCGGCAGCGGCGGTGGTGGCGGTGCCGTCGTTGAACGCATCACCCCTGGCGGTGGCGGTGGCGGTGGCGGTGCGGTGGTCGATGGAGGGGGCATCCCAGAAGGAGCGGAAGGCGGAGCAGCTGAACTCCTTGCTGCCCCGCTCGACGACAGTTTATCATGCCTCTTCTGTCCGCCTTGTTGTTGAGTTGCGCGCCGCCTGTCCGTTGACCGGCGCGGGTCTTCGTCGCTTTCACCACCATCATAACTACGTTCGTCATCGTCGATGCCGCTCTTCTCGCTGCTGTACGAGGAGCCGGCGTGGTGGCGTCGCCTGCGACGTCCGTGCCGCTGCTGCTGCGCGTGCATTCTACGCTGCAGTTGCTGCTGCTGGCTTGGTGTCATGCCCTCCAACAAGCCCTCGCCATGACGTCCAATACCACCGCTGTTCTCCAAACTGAAGGCGTCGGTGTCACGCACCACGTGTCTGCGCTCCCCGTCCCCCTCCTCCTCCTCCTCCTCCTCTGCTCCATCTTCATCACCTCCGCTCCCACTACCACCCCTGCGTTGTCGTCGTCGCTGCTGCTGCTGCTGCGACGTGGCGGTGTTCTGCCGGTCCCAGCGACGCACCGCGGCGATGTGCCGCAGCGGGAGATCGCGCGGGAGGTCCGACAGGAGCGCGTGCACCGCCGACGTGCCGTTGCCGCCCGGCACAAACGCGTACTGCTGCGCCTCCGTCTGCGTGATGAAGTCCTGCTGCAAATTCACGGCACTGCCGCCGAGGACGGCGCCGTCGATGCTGCTCCTCGTGTGCGCGCGACTGCCCGTCCGCGGGTCTGCGAGTGTGGCTGCATGCCGAGGTGGTCCTCGCTTTCCCGGACTCGCCGCAACGACATTCGACGGCGATGTCGCGGCCAGGTGTCGATACGCCACCCGCCGCGCCGGGAAGCTAACGAGCGCGCTGGCCGAGTTCGGCACCTCACACCCCGCCTGCAGCGCCTGCCCACCGCGGACCACCGGCAGGGTGCGGGGCTGCCAAAACGGCACGGCAGAACCGGCCGCCGTATTTCCCGCGGAAGAAGCGGCGGTGGCAACGGTGTCCCCCATCATCGTCACTGCTGCCCCACCACCGCTGTCGACGTCCCAACTTACAGACTCCAGCGGCATGGACTCGGCTAGGGCCACATAGGACATCGGATTAATCGGAGGCTGCGGGCCCTCACCCGCGCGCAGCTGACGACGCAACGCAGCAGCGGCGGCCGCTGTTGTTGCAGTGGAGGACGCAGATGTCGTCGATACGGCGGCGATGGTGCGCAGTGGCCGTTGATAGGAGGGCCGCGGAAGTGGATAGTTCGTCTCGTCATCGTCACCGCCACCGTCGTCGTCATCGGAGTTGGAGCTGCAGGAGTCCGGTGCGACCGCCGGCAGCGGTGAGGCACGCCGTGGGCGTAGATAGCGATCGCTGCACTTGGTGTACACGGCAGACGGGACGGCCAAATCCGCGATGGCCGTTGTGTACGCGGTCGAACCAGGCGGATGCTTCCCCTGCCTTTTGCGAGTGGCCGCTGCGTGTGGTGAAGGAGGCAGGAGCGGGTAACGAGGTTTACTCTCCAGCAGCGTCGATGTCCGGCGGTTCTTGATGCGGGTGATGGCCCCTGCGCAGGCGGTAATGCGCGTTTGAAGGTTGTCCAGCGTGCGCCATCGCGCCGCGGCTGTGCGGTCAACACGATCCAGCACGCTCTCCATCACCGCACTTAACTGCTCGAGGGCAAAGACGGCTCCCGCCAGTGCCGCACAGCCTCCTTTGCAAGGAGGCACGAGCGGCACGACGAGGCCAGGTACCTGCGCAATGGAGGCGCTGTCGTACGCGTAGGCGAGACCGGCGGCGCGTGTGGAGCTGAGACTGCTGCTGCGAGTACCACAGCTACTTCGCGCGTCGCCATCGTCACCGGAAGAAGAAGACGGCGGAGACGACACGGCTGCAACTGCGGTGGCGGCCATTCTCAACGATATACGGGAGGGAAAAGAGATAAACCAAATAAATGAAGATATTGGCACTGCCCTCAAACGACGCAGTGGCGGCTGGAAAGAAGAGAGAAAAGCAGGCGCAGCTGACGTCGGTGACGCTCAGCGGCGGGACAGAAAAGGGCGGCAACGCAAGCACAAATTAATAATAATGATAATCAGATATTGTTGCAGGTGCTTAACGGAAGTTGTGATGGAGGGGGGGGGGTTATGTTCCTAGATAGATGATTAATTTTCCTTTTCTACTACTCGCCCGCACGCAGTCAAGAACAACAACGGCAACCGGGACGCCTCTCGTTGATTGAGGAGCAGGGAAGGAAGAAGGTAACGCTGGTTACACGGCACGCCTCGCACGCCAGCTGACAGAGAGGTGCTGAAGAGGCGCACTACGACGATGTGAGTAGTGGAAAACGAGAGAAGGAGAAGAAAAACCTGAAAAGAGAGCGAGGAAATGGAAGCAGAAGGACACGCACGCACACGCACAGGAAGGCGCCGCTTCAATGAAGGGGCGATGAGAGAACAGACACGGCGAGGTGGTTCGACCAGTTTTTGCGTTCTTGGGCAATTGCTTGCATCGCCTTCCGCGTCACCAAATTTCTGTCTCACACACATGGGTGTATGAAGGAAACGCAGAGGACGTGGCGAAAAGTCGGTTCATTCCTGAATCAGCCAGCGCCACCACCATCACAGCAGCAATGTGCGAAGGTGTGTGTGTGTCGCTGGCACTCTAGCACAGAGCGAATTGGGTCGTTGAAACGGCCAATCTTGAATTTTTTCTTTTAAAGGGAAAATGATAAAGAACAGTAATAATGAAGAAGTGAGAGGCGTCCCAGACAATCGCGCCACGCTAACCTCCCCCCTCCCCTCCTCTTCGTCTTCCTTTCAACTCTTCGCTCCGTCACGCACATCAGCGAGCCGCTGCGGAGCCACAAAAGAAACTGGAAAGACTGTTGAGAGTTGGAAAATCAAAAGGAGGGTATGGGAGAGAGAGAGAGAGAAGGGCGGTGCAATTGTCAGTACAGACATTAACACCACAGGGTACGGCCGGAAGTGGGCATCCTATTCTTACGCCATCACGTTGCGCATGGTGATCTTGCCCTTGGGGGTGATGAGCTTGCAGTGGATGCCGCGCTGCTCGAGCCTGCCGGCGTCGCGCAGTGCCTCGTACTCGGTGCGCAGGATGTCGGTGAAGCCCCAGTACTTGGACGTCACGATGATCTGGCGGCCGGGGAACTTCATCTTGGCGCGGCGCAGGGCCTCGTAGGCCTGCGGCACGTACGCATCCTTGGTGCGCATGGACAGCAGGATCTGGCCAATGCGGACGCGCGCGCACACACCGTTCGGCTTACCGAAGGCACCGCGCATACCGGTCTGCAGACGATCGGCACCGGCGCAGGAGAGCATCTTGTTGATGCGGAGCACGTGGAAGGGGTGGGCACGGGTGCGCATGTGGAACACATCCTTGTTGGCGCGCTTCGTCATGTACTTGTTGGCCTGAATGCGGGCAGCCTCCAGCGCCTCGGACGCGATCTGCTCCAGCTCGCGAGACACCACGTGGATGCACACCGGGAACTCATCGACGGTGGCGCGGCGGCGGCCGATGTCGAAGTTGCGAATCTTGGAGTCCGGCACACCGCGGCAGAAGCGGGACTTCGGGTACGGCTTGTTCTTGCAGAAGCGGTAGCAACGAGACGGACGGCGAGCCATGGCTGCGACGGTGGGGGGTGTCTGTTGAGTATATTCTAGGGTAGAAATACACGGAACGGTGAGTCGACCTCTGAGAATGGAAGGAGACGAAGGAACAATAGATGGGAAGGGTGCAGTATAGAGAGAAAGAACATCAACAGCAAAATTATTGATGTTTAGTTGTGTGACGGGACGGATGAAGAGGCGTGGAAATGAAGAAGCGAAATAAAGGAGGGGGGCGGGGGCCGGGAGTACGAGAAGAGGACAGAATATGCCAAGAGGAGTGCGCAACGACGCCATGCGCCGGTAGTACGCACACATCATCAAAACCCCAAGCACACTGAAGGAACAGTGTAGGGGTCTTCAACAATAATAATACTATTAACCACCACAACCCGCCATCATTATTGACGAACGGTGGATTTTGTAAAGTCGGTATTCACACGGGGCACGGCGGCGCGCCCGAGAACAACACCTTTCTCCCTTCTTCTTCAGGCCTGCAAGATGCGTGACCGAAGAGCTCAACGGAGAAACAGCGTTACCGCAGCAGATGTTTCTTTTATTATTATTTGAAAGGGTGAAATGATAAAACAGAAAGTATCAGAAAAACAATAGTAAACGTGTTTGGCTCAGTCGTTTCTTCCCTGTCACAGACGCATCCGCGCAGACGACGGAGAAGTGAATAAAGAGGAGGTTCACGCGTAGGAGGCATGGCGACACACGCGAAACAGAATCCACGCACCCACCCATGCGAACGGCCCCTGTCTCTTCTACGCCAGCAATGGCTGGCGCTACGGTCGATCGCGAGATCCGTCATCCACACGCAGTTGAAGCGAAACGTAAGACGGAGGGTGATCCGTCACAGACGCTGACAACGGCGAAGGAGGGCGTGAGAAAAGAACCACAAGAGCGAGAGGTGCTTTCAATATTAAAATCCCTTGCACTGCCCTTACATGGTCAGCTCCATGATGGTGTTCACGATGTCGCCGTTGTTGTTCTTGAGGGCCCTGATGGCCTTGTTGCGCGACACGTTCGCCTGGCTCATCACCACGTTGATCTCCTTCTCGTCGAGGCCGCCGGCGTCCACCTCCTCGCCGTCGTCCTCCTCCTTCGCGGCGGGCGCGGCGGCGGCGGCGTCGTCGGATGTCTCTGCCGCCCCCGACACGGCGGCGCGGGCGGCGGCCTCCTGCGCCAGCGCGCTCATGTCCTCCAGCTGGGCCTCGCCGAAGATGACGAAGGTGTTGGTGCCGGGGAAGCGGTACACCTCCGGCTGCACCATGGCGAAGGCGAGCGAGCCGATCTTGCGGATGTTCACCTTGACGATGTTCGGCTCCGGCTTGAGGCCCATCTTGGCCATCGCCTTGGCGTAGCGCTTCGACTGCTTCGCGCTCTGCGGCACCTCGGCCGCCTCCAGCGTGGGCACCTCGTCGTCAACGGCCACGGCGGCGGCGTTCTGCGCTTCTTCGGCGGACATGATGGGTGGTGCGGTGGGGAGGGATGATAAAGAGAGAGGGAGTTAAAGTGTGAGGGCGTGAGAGGGCAACTAAGAAACTCAATGCGGATGTGAAGGTGGGCTGTTTGCCGCGTAAAACAGGAATAGTAATAATAATAATGGTTAAAGGCAAGGTGGGAGAAGAAAAAGAGGAAAAGTTAGAAGTTGAAAGGGACAGATCCAAGAACAGAGCAGCTGAAATGCCGTGCATCAACCAGCTGGGGATCCACAGAAGGCTTCGAACCGCATCGCCCACTCTGAAAGACCGTTTCCGCTCGAATCAGCTGGATTAGCGAGGGTGTCCGTGAGTTCACACACAGAATCGCATAGGAGTTGAAAACTAGCAAGAAACGCAACCGTACGATACACACATCACGCAACGCGATTTAACCTCCCGGGGGTTTTTGCTCTCTTTTCCTTTTCAGTACTTGGTGAACGAGCACGCCTCTGCCCCGAAAGAAGAAGCACACGGTGCCAATGAAGAATCGCAAAATAACGGAAAGGCAAACAGAGCAGACGGACGCCGCTGCACAACACAACATTCATGTTGTTCGTTTGAAGAAGAAGAGGAGAAACAAGAAAGCAGTCAGTAAAGAAGCGGGGAACACGCTCGCATCGACGATATGTGCGCTGCAGAACGATACATGCCGAGCGCGATATCAGCTATTAACCCCCCCTTCCACAAATCCCTCCGTAAACAGTGCACAGTCCCTCCCCATCGACACACACCCAGCAAGGAGCGGGAATGGAGCGTGCGAACACACACCAGCACCCCACCCCCTCTCTATCATAAACAGGCTTCTTCCGCACCGCTCTTTCTCTCCCTCCTCCTTTTCTTCTTCTTTTTACGTTAATCGGTCGAGCTAATCAATCTGTTCAATGGCCAGATCGCTCGCCGTGTTACCGCGGCGCGGCGCCAAATGCGGTGCTGCCATCTGCAAGGACCTCGCTGCGCCGGGGCTGCCCTGTGTCGGAGGGATGCTGGCCGCCGTGCTTTGGTAGCCTTCATCGCGCGCTAAAGTAGTCGTGTTGCGGCCGCTGCTTCGCTGCGCCGGTGAGTGTGCTGCCTGCTGTCCCGCCGCCCCGTCTTCACCCGCGCTCGTCAGCGTTCGACCGAGGCAGACGATGAGGCACCCGCCGCAGCACACACTGAAGGCCAAGGCCCCCAACACGACGAGGATGGGTAGAAAGGCAAGGAAGGCGGACGGGTCAGCGCCGGTGGTGACGCCGTTGTATTCGTACTCCGCCTTGGCCGCCCACATCGCTGACATGTAAAGCCCACACGCGGGAGGTCCGGTGCGGAGGAGCACGTTGGCGGCCCGCTCGCCCAGGCCCGGCGGACGCTGCGACTGCTGCTGCTGTTGTTGTTGCTGGGCCGAGGACGACGACACTGACGATCCGCCCGAGCTGGTGCGGTGGCTGCCGTCCCGAAAGGGGGTGCTGGCGTTGAGCGGGGAGGCGGAGGCGGAGTCGCCGCCGCCGTGGCCGTCGTTGGGGACGGAGGACGGGGCGAAGAAGCCCTCCCACGCGTTCACGACGAAGTGGACCCCAAAGAAGACAAGGAGAGGCGCGAGGACGACCCAGAAGCTCAGCACCGGGCCAGGTGCCGCCGGCTGCTGCTGCTGTTTCTGTTGCTGAAGAGCGCGCTGAAACGCAAGCGCAATGAACGCGTACACGCAGCCCGCCTCGAGCAGGAGCTCCGCGAGGTCACGCCAGTACTGCCCCGTACGCCATGGTGTTGTGGCGAAGGATCCGTTCTCACTCCCCGCAGGACTGCCACGGTGGTCGTCGTTCGTTGCCGTCGAAGGCGACGGTACGGCGAAGTTGTGCGCGCCGCCAGGCAGAAACGGTTCCTGCGTGGCGTTCGTGGTTCCCGAGGCCGCCTCCTCTGAAAAGTGGGGCGAGTGTACGCGGCGGTACACCGTCGGCACCATCATCACGATGTCACTCACCGTCCCGATGACGTACCAGATAATCCACGGGATAAACGCGGATATCGGCGACATGCGGTGGTCGAGCGCGGCCGCCGAGGTCGCCACGATTACGACGCACAACAGCAGTCGCACGCTTGGCAGCAGCAGCACGTACAACCCCCTCTTCCAGCTCTCCACCATGACGGCCACACTGGCCACCACCAGCCCCGGTAAAAAGCACCACAGCGGAAGGAGGATGACGCCCCACGACGGCCACTGATCGGGCGCGTCGATCTTGTAGCACCCAACCAGCAGCGAAACGAAGAAGGCAGCAGAGAGCAGGCCAACAATGAAGCACCCCGCCGCGACGTTGCCGATGATGATGAGCAGACTGCCCAGCATGCCGCCACTGTAGTCGCCCAGCTGCTTTAAGCCCTCGCGGCCAACCGTGTCGTACAGCCGGCGCTGCTGCGGGTTACTCAACACGCGGTGCGCCTCCTCAATCTGCTGGAACTGTTCCACCGTCGCGCCGGCGTTGCGGTCGGGGTGGTAGCGCAGGGCGAGGCGGCGGTACTGCTGGCTGACTTCCGCGGAGGTGCATTGGCGGTCCAGTTCCAGCACCTCGTACAGCACCCCGCTGCACGAGCGTGGCAGCATTACTCTTTGTCTTTCGAGTGAGTGTGAGGTGAGTATAAGTGGGAGAGCGAGAGGCGTACAGCAGCCTCTACAGAGTTCGGCTACAATATATATATATATATATATGTATGTATCGGTGGACGACAAGCCCTGTGAAGAGTCCTTGCAGTTGATATACAGCGGAGAGAAGAAGGGGGGGGGGAAAGAACAAGCAAACAAAGCACCTTCAGTAAAGAGGAAAGAAGAGGGAGAGACGACAGGGAAGAGGAAAGAAACGAAGTCGAAGAGGGAGAACGTTGATGCAGCCTCAGAAAAAGAGTCGGGGAGCGTAAATGCGGTACGCTACAGGCTTCTCTTCCTAACGCTGACGGGCTACTCATCGCTCCATGCGCAGGACAGTAGGTTTTGGAGTGTCCATGAAAGTTTTCTCTTTTAAGGCAAAGTAATGAAAACAATCAACGACGGTTTCGTATAGCTGTCCAGCAGTTGGTCTTGCCCCAGTCCATAGAGGCGCGTGCTACGGAGCACACCAACAGCCAAAAAAAAAAAACGTATTTCGTCCTCTCTTGATTAGTACGTTTCTTCCATTTGCGTTCTTGCTGTTGTGAGAAACTCCATGCACATCTCCACGTGGTTTCTTGACGCCGTCAAACTAGAACGGTGACGCCTTCACCCCCCCCCCCGTACTCTAC